CCCCAAAACCCCAAAACCCCAAAACCCCAAAACCCCTGCCCATATACTTCAAGTTGAATATCGCAAAAATATTTTAAACCAATTTTTTAAATAATTTAATGAATCTTAAACTGCAAAAATTAAAGTAAAAAATTATTTTTAAAAGTGTGCAAACATTTTAAATAAAAAATCTGATTGTTCTTAGTAATTTTTAGCAAGGAAAAGAGGCCTTCTAAACGAAATATAGTAGTTTTATGGATTTCTAGGCATCAAATTAGTTACTTCCTCTGTAATTGGCTACACTATGCATAATTTCTAACAGAAATTGTGTTATTTGAGCTTGCTTGATCAAGTTTCCTTTCTATATTTTAATCATCACACCAAATTTTCGAAGAATTTCTAAGTATCAAATCATAAATTATTCAGAGATGCGGGGAAATTTGGGACATCAGTGCTTACCTTGTGAACCCTCGAACACTGGTATGTCTTCCTCGATAGGTTTTATTCAGGTGAACCTCACATTCTTTATAGATTTCTTATTTTCCTTTTCTAAATTATTAGTATATTCTTAAAACTTTTGTAGAAGGCCTCTCTTGTTCGATTGAGTTTTTCTGTTCATCCCCATTTCTTTCATCTTAGTGGAGGGAAATCCTTCTGAGAGACTAACCCTATCTTCTAGTCTTACAGATTTCTCTGTAATTCTCTAAAGACAAGGTGAGCTAGAGATTAAGTTTCTTAGGTAAAATTGGTGTGAGGGAACATTCATGCGCCAATTCATATATCTAAAAATGACAGATAGCCTTCATAGGTATTATTTCAGGTAATAATGTTGAATATGAACTTTAGAGGCTGAAATAGGCCTATTCTCTCAAATCCCAACATATTTAAAGTTGATTTTTATGCAAGGAATAACCCTCAGTCTATTAAAAACACAAATACTTGTCATACCAGTCATGAGCAATAAAGATCTATACTATTTAAGAAATTGAGGATTAGGATTATTAGGCCCAACACTATATATCTGAGGTATAAGAAAGAGATTTCAAACAATATAAAGCACCACAGTTTCAAGAGAAATACTTATTAGCTTAAAAGTGGCCAAAGAAAGCCTCTAGTTTAAGCTTAAAGAAGTATTGTTAGAGATATAGAAGGATCAAAGTTATAAAAATGTCTAAGATGAAGATATGATGAGAAAGAAAATGCATTTAAAGGAATCAGGTAATATGAGAATGCCAAGATTTTTCAGCATTTAAAAAGCTAATTTTGGCTATATATAAAGTTAGGAAAGAGAATGTAAATTAGTTAAAGCAGATTAAATTTTGTATTAATAGTGAAGATTTTTTCTTTCTGTCTTTGCTAGAAATTTAGTATTTAGTAGCTGAGAATAATAGCCATTATATATAAGTTTCTCTTTCTATTTTAAAGATGTCATTTCAACAGATTTTAAGCTTTTTATTATTCAATTCTTTCAAAAATAATTAAATTTTGGTGTCAAGCTTACATTCATGCCTTCATAAATGATAAAGTTGGAGTATTCATTAGCCCCTGCTATAAGTCAAAGGTGTTATACAGTTTTGAGGAAATTTTACATACTAAAAGTGTCTCTGTTGTACTGGTATGATGAATCCTTGGCTGTATGGCAGCAAGAAGAGTTCCCCATTTTATAATATTTTCAATATTTTATAGCTAGTTTGGGGTTTTGGGGTTTTGGGGTTTTGGGGTTTTGGGG